TCGACTGGAAGTTGAAGTCTGTGCATGCCTATGGCAGTAGGACACTAAATCACACGATATAGCAGCAAGGGCAACCATAGGAAAATTCTCAAGGGGGGGACAACATTTTAATTTATCAATCTATTCATAAATAGGAATGACCCACGATATACATTCAGTCAAAAAAGTTCCCATACACCTCTTTTTAAAAAAAGTATTTGTAAATATTTTAAAAAGTCCAAAATATTAGGGGTTATAAATCGTACCACAAATTAATTTAGCATGCATATTTTATATTTCAATAATATAAACTATTTTTTAATTAACATATGATTTTAATAAATTACAAATTAGAAATACTTGAATAAAAAGTACTCCAAAAAGTTTCCATACACTCATAATATAATTTATTAATTTAGTAAATTTATTAGTTAGGTTAGTTTTTATTCTTTAATTAATAACGTGTTAACCCACCTCTTGCTTTAATAACATCGATCAAACGATTCTTCATACTATTTACTAATTTTTTAGTGATTTCCGGGTCAATTGCATTCCATTCGGTTAAAATTGCATTTTTCAACTGCTGCTTATTTCGAACATTATGTATTCTAATTTTTCTTCCTATTTCATCCCATAGTTGTTCGATAGGGTTCATATTAGGTGATTGTGGTGGTGTATGAAGTTGTTTAGAAACATTATATATCAACCATTCTTTAACACGTTTTGCCGTGTTTTGGATCATTATCTTGTTGAAAGATAAATGAACTTCCCAAACTTAATTTGTCCACACTACATTTTAAATTATTTCTTAAAATATCTAAATAAATGTATTGATCTATTATACCATCTATAAACACTAAATTTCCTACTCCTGATGCACTTATACACCCCCATACTATCACATTACCACCGCAGTGTTTAATAGTTGCGCTTAAGTTCTATGTTTTTAATTGTTCATTTGATTTTCTTCATACTTTTCCTCAACTATCGGATGAAAATACAATAAATTTTAATTCATCGAAAAAAATTACTGAGTTCCAGAAACTTATAGGCTTATCAGTATGAGCTTTTGAAAAATATAGACGTTTCCTTTTGTTAACAGCACTTATAAATAGTTTCTGCCTAGGAGTACACCCATTATATCCAAATCTCTTCAGAACATTTCTCACTGTTTGTGGTACTACATTTACACCATAGTCTTTTTTTAATCATATTCGCCAGTTTTGGTGCACTTGTCTTGAGATTTTTTACAACTGTTCTTAGGCCGGCCGCACACCAAAAGAACAAAACTGCGTTAAGCAGCGTTAGTCAGCCTAACACAGTTTTGTTAAAAATAGAACATGGGAAATTGCGTTGCATACACACACTGATAAAACCTAGTCAAAACAAAATGTTTTTGCTTTAAACACAATTAGTCATGACTATTACCGTCTGAAGTGTCTCCATTTTTCATCAGTCACACTAAGACAAGAATGAAAAATTGTTAATATAAAATACATATAAAATACAATGGCTGTGTAATGTGTGTAATTTTTAAATTTACTTTCATCAGCACGTAATTCACATAATAAAGAAAATATCACATTAAGAGTTATACGTTTCTGATTTAATGGATGAACCCATAATTTTTTTTTCTGTTTTTTCTCTAACTCTTGTAGAGTGTACCACAAACAAACTGCAACCTCTTCGTCAGATGACATTTTGGTACTGTTTATGAATTTTTTTATGTTTGTCTAGTCTTGTCTTGCCTTGACTTGACTAAATGATATACGCATATATAAAACAAATTGTTTTTAGTTGACTAAAACAAAAAATACTAATGCTGCTTAACGCAGTTTTGCTCTTTTGGTGTGCGGCCGGCCTAAAGCCGGAATTGTCCGCCCTTGGTTTGAGTCTAATATTTTAGGACGGCCTAAACGAGGCCTATTATTATATTGCTCAATGTTTTAATTTCTTTTTGTCGGTTGATAATATATTGAACCGTCGAAGGTTATTTATTTACAATTTTTAACAATTTTTCGAAAAGATTGTCTTTCTTCCCTTAGTTAAATAATTAATACACGGATTTCAGTAGATACTTCCATCTTTAAAGTATGTCGTAGTAAAGAAAACGTTAACGTATAACTAACGTAGTAAAAAAAAATATTTAATATATACAAATATGAATGATCACAATAAATTGATTTTTTAGACTTCGATAGACTTAATAATAAAGAGTACAACGATGAGAAAAAATAATGTATGGAAACTTTTTTGACAAAAATAATTTAATTATATGGGTTTTCCAAATTAATTTATTTCTACACGAATATTTTTACCTAAATTTGCCATGGAAATTTAATAATTGATTGTTAAGGAATGTTTTAGTTAATAAATAAAAATTCTGATTTTTAATTTAAGATTTATTAAAATGATTTTATAAATTTAAATGTAATGTATGGAATCTTTTTTGACTGAGTGTAGGAAGGGGTTTACAATTTTACATTAAACTATTACATTATATATATAAAACTGGAAGACTATAAAATAATAATTATTTAACCAATTTACCATAAAAGTAATTTATTGAAATTTTTATTTAATTAATAATATAAATTGGACATTTAAAACATTAGTTATATTTATTAAAATATTAATTTACAAATATTATATAAATATTATGGTTGTATACACATACATATACATATTTCTGGAAGTACACAATATTTTAAGAATTGATAATTATCCATAGAATAGAAACGAAATAGCGTATTGTTATTTATAGCTGATAACCTGATTTTCCAAACTAAATAAATAGATTTTTCATAAACAAATTATAGATTTTCATATATTAAATTAAATTTTTTAATTCTATTTAAATAAATATTTTCTAATCATAGTAAACAATTTTCCAAGATATTTGACATTTTCCAGAGGGGGACATGTCCCTCCCTTGCCCCCCATATGGACGCTCTTTGTATGGCAGCATGTTTTTATATCGACTTATTAATAACTATTATTTATTATTGAATTTATAATGACTTTTTATAAACCAAATTAAATTTTTCTTTGTTTCTATTCATAGTGAATAAACGACGACTAACACTGGTACCTGAATTAATTTGTAAAAGATGAGATTTTCTTTGATATCGAACATTAATAATTAAAATAACAATACTATGGAGATTAAAAATAATACGACAGAGATTTAACTAATTAACGGTATTTGTCAATGACTCCTATAACCGCACATTTTTGGTGATTAAAACCGCACACATTTAATTGGTTAAGACCGTACAATTTTTAAAATTATTTTATTCAGAAAATTCACACTTTTGATTTCAACTCCAAAAAGGTTATACTTTCCTAGGTTAGGTACACTTAATAATTTATAATTTATTCAAACAAAAAAAATGCATATACGAGTATTCTAAAATATAAATAAAATGTAAAAATGTAAAGTGTGTAGAATTTTTAAAGTTTGATTAGCTGAAATCTATTAGTAATATTTTTTAAAAACTTCATACGATCTTCGTCTATTAAAAATTCTTCATACCATTAAAACAAGTGCTCCTAAAATAAATATAATTTAAGAATCGAAGTATTAAAACGTGATTATTGCAATATATCTTATAATCTTATCTTATTAGTTAGTTAGCACTAAAAATAATTTGAGGTTTTAACCACTATAAGTTTAGGGTATTTTGTTATACAATGACCGACAGTGTGCTCTTTTTGTCTATCGAACTTTTTTAAGTCAAAATCAAAAGTGTGCGGTTTTCGGATGCAACCGTATTTGTTGCTATCGATCATTATAATACATCTTACACCGAATACGTAAATTATGCAGCCAGTGGCGTAGCTAGGATTTTTAAATGAGAGGTTAGAGATTAGAGGTTAAAGATTTTTAAATTAGGGGCTACTATTTGTACAAGTTAGGTAGGTACGGCTTTGAGAGTTTACCCAAACCTCCCCCCATCACCCCAAATTTAAAAAGTATTTCCAGAATTTTGAAATAGTTTTAATAATATTTATTAAAATATAACTAATAATTATTAATAAATTAACGGTGGTCAGCTGCGATAAAAACACCATGACATAACGTGGTATAAAAACTATAGTGACAAGAGTCGCCATAACGTTCACGATACCACCAAAAAGATGGATAGTAGTAATCAGATGACGCTAAAACGCTTATGTATTTACCAATGACAAATACCCGTTATTCGTCAACATTTAGTTATTACCAGTTTTAAAATATTTAAATTCTAGATAATAGTTTACTAGTTTAGTACATACACATAAACACGACTAATAAGGGAGAGGCTATAGCCCCTCCCCTTGGCTAAGTCACTACGAACAACGACATAACTGATAAAATTCATAAATTTCATTGAAATTATAAAATAAAATAAAACCGGCAATTTCACTAATTCAGGTTATATTATACATACATATTTAATATTTTCTATTATTATCTACAAAATTAGGTATGTTCATATCTTATGATATCATTTTTATTTGGCTAATCTTTTTTAACTAATAAATTCATAAAATACAAAATTAATTTAAAAAATAAAGTTGTTCTACAAAACATATTTTTTATTTCAAAAAAATAAGTACAGATTATTATAACTGATTTATATCACAATTAAATGACATACAAAATGGACGGAATTGTTATTGTATGAAATAATCATAACTTAGTTTTAATTTAATACAGTCTTACTAAGAAATAATAAATATTTAATCAAAGATGTAAAATTAAAAAAACACATTTGAAATGTTATATAACAGATAATGTCTGGGTTTGTTATTAAACATCATAACATAATGAATAATAAAAACTTAAAAGGTAAAAGTGCTATAAATAAAATAATAATGTGTGTTCATTGATATTTTTTTATAGTTATGATAATTAAACCTAAGCTACAATAAAAATATATTTTTATACAATTGAATAAAAAAATATTTAAAAAAAAACATTAACAATATTTAAATTGTACGAAAATTATATTATGTTTCATTTTCAGATCAAAAAAGTATAAACGCATTTTAAAAAATTTTAAAAAACTTAATCACTGATTAATACTACGAATAAAAAAAAATATGCTTATCAAAACAATAAGCAAATTAGAAGATGTAGATAAATTAGCTGAGTTACACCAATGGTCAAAATAACAAAAGCACCATGTTGTTGAATCATAATAATCTCTGGAAATTATACAAATTATAAAAATTATAATCAATTTTATTTTAAAAATTTTAAAAATTACCTTTTAATATCCAGTTCAGTTATTGAATTATTCACATAGTTGCCTAATTTAACATCAACAGAATTTTTTCTACAACCTTCATATTTATCAGCTGGAATATCTGTTCGAAAACCTTTTAATGAACTCAAACAATCACGAGTAATACGTTCTTCATCTAAAGTTTAAAAATACATACCATCACATAAGTCATTGAATTCTCAAACATATTTATGTCCACTTGATTTCTACATATTTTTTCAATATTAGTTTTTTCCCAATTACATTTTGAATTATTGAATATTAATCTTATTCTATTATAAATACCAATGCAATTTTTTTATTTCTGATAAAATATTTTAACCTGAAGCTGATATAATCTCAACAGCCATTTTTAAAGTTAATTTACAAAATAGTTGCAAGGGCAGTAAAAAACAAATCATTGATTTTTAAGAAAATCATTCATACTAGTATTAGTGACCGAAGGAATTGCCAGGAAAAAATTGAATACTACCACACCTTGGTAAAATTTTAATATGTTAAATGATAATAAATTATAAAATGTATAGTATGATATTAAATATATGTATTTATCTAATAATTATTAATGTATAAATAAATAAATACTTAGCTTAGAGTATTAAAATATTTTTTTTACGTACGACTGGTTTCAAATTAAAAATTCATAATCAGTTATATACAAAGGTTATTTGTATATACTTGATACAAAGGTATTACCATTAAATATAATAATTATTACTTATTAATAGAGCCCAAATTTAAAAGCATTTGCATGTTTTTCTAAACACTCAAAAATATAGCTAGGCAAGCTACAATTTTAAATTATAGTCAATATATCTGAAATACAAAGTTTTATTTTGCATATTTTACCATTTTTTGACATGTAATGCATATTTCTGTATTTTACAATTTTTTATTATAATATATATTCATATAATAATACTCATATATATATATATATATATATATATATATATATAATTATATTCATTTTAACTTAAAATTGTTCTATATTATTATAATTTAAAAACTATAACAATTTATTATAATATATCAATATGACAAAGAGCAAAAATGTAATACTACAGTACTAGTAAAATTATGATATTTAGAACTGTAAATGTAATTACCTCCAATCCTTTCAATAACTTTTACGCATATATCATCTTCTTCAGGGCATGAAATTGTTTTAAACCAATACCACTTAAATGGTGTGCCACAACCAGGATGTGTTGAAACACATTGGTAGCATAATAAGTAAGATTGAGCTGTAAAATTAAACTAAATGTTATAACAGAAAACTGTAATTTCTTGTCAAAGATTAAATCAAAATATATTTCAAGTATAAAATACCTAAGTGCCACTCCCTTTAATGTAAACTTACCTTGTATGAATATTGTTGAAAATATTACTAATGAAACCAAAATGTTTGATTTTATCATTTTTATTTTGAAGCTATCTACTATGACTTTTTAATACTGATAAAAGATTATTTACCACTTTATAAAATGCAAAAAATATATTAAAATAAAACAATTAAGTAACAAATTTAAAATAACATTACAGGTTTCAACTGACTAACCTGATAGTTAAACAAAACAGATTAAAAGTAAACAATAATATGAGTGATAACTTATACTTCACAGTGTAGCCGTTTGTATAAAAATATATACAACATCCGATTCATAATTATGATACTACTGTATGTTTACTGTATTTTGAATCATTCAAATATTATTGCATTATGAAATAAATGCAATTTTGAATTTATTTCTGACCAAAAAGTGTTCAAAACATAAACTGTTAAAAATAATCGTGGCTATGCTATAAAAATTTAAATAATAAAATAATCAACCAAAAAATAAAAACTATGATAAATAATTAGACTTCTATTCTTTGTATTGAATTTTATATAAGTAATATCATTGATTATAAATAGTATATATAATCAATAGTAATATATAAATAATACTATTGTACATAGAATTGATAAAAAAGGAAATATCGACTTGTGGAAATTAAAAGAAAAGAAAATTAAAACTTCAAAAGATTTTAAGAACTAAACCATCGTCTTTTATTGTAATCAATGTTAGTAAACAAATAATATATAATTGGACACAGCTTTTAAGCAATATATATAATATTCGGAAATGCCCATTAAAGAAATTACCTCATCCACCGAACCTAGACAACTCAAATGACGGGACACATATAATGGGCTCATGTTCTCTAAAAGCTCTTGTTAAAGGCCTATCAAAAGCGTCAATATTGAAGAAAGGAGAATTTGAACTACCTAATCGATGTTACACAGGTATTTTTAATGCAAATAATATTCAATTTGGTCGTACAATATTGTAATATACAATGATTATTTATTTTCATATTTGACTTTACAGGTCCTCTTCGTATCTCACAGACCAAGGATAGACATCAGGATATCATGAGCTTAATGAAATTTTGACGCCCTGAAGCTGTGGAATTTTTTAAAAAGTTAAAATACCAATAACATCCTGTATTAAAAGTTTTATAACAATAATTTCTGAAAATCAATATATTTTCGAATAGCTTACATGCCTTGTTTTTCCCCGGTTTCACACGACTTACCTAGTTCTTTTTCGGTCAATATTTGACTAAGGATGATATTTCTATTATATTTTTAATTTAATTGTACAATGTTTATGATTACATTTAACCCGATCTTTTTATATTGAAAAAAAAATATTTATTAAGATTTAAAATTAAAAACAAGTTTTTCTCAAAATGAAAAAAGTGACTTTTCTGGTTTTTTCCCTGTACCCTTCATATGAACACTCGGAAAATTGGAATGTCTCATCCTATAAATAAACAGGATCCACCACAGTCCATAATATACTATACATATTTTTGAAATAAACAATGTTTGTCGCATTTTCCAACTAATTTTCTAAATTTATTATATAACAATATATATTAATGTAGCAATTATTTTGTAATTAATTAATTAATAATTAACAGTAAAGAGTAAAATGTTTATTATTGGGTTGAGTTGGTAAAATACAACCTTGGAGACTTGAAGCGGTTTTATTGTGTAAAACATTTGTATTTATTATGATTTTAAAAGACAGCATACTCTTATAAATGTAACTTCTAAAATGTTTAATAAATCTTACTTAAATTCTACCTATTTTTTTACTACAGAATTGAAAGTTTGAGGTAATCCAAAAGGCAAAAATATTTACTTTTACTGCCAAAAATAATATTCATCAATCATAGAATTATTTTAGAATGAACAATACAAATTAGATTATATAAAAATAAATAGGTACCTAGTTGATATTTTTGTCATATAATCAATTGACAACCATTGCCTAACTCCATTATGATAATAAGCATAAATATTTTAGTCTACCATAAATGATCAAAGAAAGAATATAAATAAAGATATTATAACAACTTTCAATTTCATTAAACTTTTTTCAGAGAAACCAATTTCTTCTACACCAAGAATTTAAAAAATAAATATTTAAATTTTAAAAAATAAAATAATTAAATAGCAGTTAAATTTATTTTAATTTCTGAATCAATTTTTCAATTGTATTGAAAAATAATAAACTATTTAAGTTTATATAATCAAATACTTTACAAGATTGTGGGTAAAATTCAATATTTGATAGATATACATAAGCATAATAAAATATATATATATACATGAAAAAGAAGCAATATACTTATAAAATAAAATAATACAAATAATAAAAAATGTATTTATATTATTTTAATTAGGTATATATTTAGTGTCGAATTATACCAAATTTATATAGTTCAACGCGAAAAAAAAACATTATTTTAATCTCCAATATATATTCGAACAGTTGGGTGCCTACCGCGTGTATAATAACCAAATCTAAACGAACAATTTTCCACATTATGTTCGTCGATAAAAACGAGAAACGAGACGGTGACAAGGGCGTGGTCGTAAGCGTATTCCAGGAGGAAGCACGCACGATCCGTTGCATAATGTTTGCGCGTCTACCACCCTTCGTGTAGCTTACGCGCAATATTGTGGTGCGATGCAACTATTCGCTCGCACATCGTACACCCGACGCAATATCAATCAGTCTCGCTGCTGTTAACAGTATCACACAAAACATTATACTATACATTTATAGAGTATTTGTTTTGATTCGCGTCTTACTCGTCTACGATCTTACAGCCGACTGTATGAAAAATAATAAATGTGCGAATATATCATTTGATTAGGTTCGAATACACGTAACAATAAATAATCGAATTACTATCATCTACAACGGCGACATGTACGCGGACATTAACGGAGAGTGTCTGTCCGCTAGGTGATCTTGCTGATCTGCAGTTAGGGTATAATGCCATTTATACCCGAACAACGTCGCATAAGCTCGGTGAGTAGTTATTGTATAAAAATATTTTCGAAAATGTTTACCAGCTTAACTGTAAAAGCTAACCCACACTAATTTAAACGTCTCTGTACAGACCACCAAAGGTTGTGAATGCAAATTACATTAAATATACGAGGTAGTTTGCGAATTGTCACCCTTCTGCCAGGAAATAGTGCGAAAAAAGGGGGAAAATCTCGCAGCGCCAATAAATTAAATATTGATTTATTTTTTATGCAATGAACAGGTGCCGGGAAAGTTTCCACGTTATGTACATGTTATATAAGTACGTGTTTACATCGTTCCTTTAACATTAAATTTTTAATTTATCACGAGTGAAATTAAAAAATAAGTATTATTTTAGATATTATTATAGTATTATTACAGTACTTATTATATTGTTGTTATTAAAACTTTTTTTTTTCTAATGAAACTTTTAAATATTCTGAACTGTAACATTTGTTATTTTTAACTTCAGTTTTCTAAAAATTAATAAATTATAGTAAATTACATTTTTTTCCACAGATAATTTTATCTAAAAAAAGTTTTTCTAATTCAAGATCAACTGAAGTCAATAATGTTACACTTATTAATCTTTTATAGAACACATAACATAGGTTATCTGAAGTTAAATATATGTGTTTTTTCTTTATACAAACGAGTTATAAATAAATATAAGTATATTTTAGTGGATTTGGTAAATTTCAAACAGCATTTACTTATTTTATTAAATAAAAAATACATGGAATGTTTATACTTGAAGCGAAATTTAAAATAAAAAATTCTACAACTTGTATAATATTTCTCAATTGTTGTAAGTGTGAATAATATGACTTTTGATGTATGATGTATAATATTGATGTAAACACAAAAAAATCACTAATGACTAGAGCCCGGAATTGTATGCACTTGCATATTTTTATATATTAAACTAAAAAGTAGCTAGGTAAGACAGAAATTTAAATCTTAATCTAATGTGTTGGTATGCGAAATTAAATTTGGCATATTTTTGCATATTTGGAACATTTCAAATTATTATGCATATTCTAGCATTTTTCTGAAATATAATGCATATATAGAAAAAAATATTAGGAAGTTATTAATATTATTATTTATTACTTGGCGCATGTCCATCGTAAATTTAGTGAATCATGCAGTTATATAATTTGATTTTTGTGTTATAATAAGATAAGATAAAGTTTGCTAAAAGTACCAATACGATAGTAATTCTCCAGGTACCTTTAAAAAAAATTATAAAAATCCACTTGATTTATTTAAATTGATTTTCGTTTGTGACTTTTTGTTTGGATGAGTGAGTATTCAAAATACAATTTAATTTCAATACAACATACAGTTCCACACAGTTTAATAATATATACAAAATACAGTTGATATAATTTAAAGTATATTTTTTGTTGAATGTTAATTATTTAATGAATTGTATACATTTTAAAATTAAATAAATTTAATAAATAATATACTTGCATTTTTGTTAGCATATTTTCACATAGTTTTGCATATTTTGTACATTTTTAGTGCATATAATTCCGGGCCCTACTAATGACCGTTCAGAACTGAAGTATAAGACTAAATATAAAATTTTTATTAAATCATCTATACGTGTTTTTGTATAATATTTACTTTAAGCATTTGTTACAGATAAATATAAATAATACTTAAATCTAAAAAAGTATTTGGGTAAAATAACTTGAAAGACTGCTCCCCGCAGTATGATTTTAAGTCACTTGAAATATCTTACCACCTAATGAGAAGCCTTATCACCAGGGAACGGACTTTAATGTCTTAAAAATTAAGAAAAATGTCCTTAAAAAATACGACCTTATGCCTTAAAAAAATGTTTTAATATCAAAAAAATGTACTAAAAACATTAAAAATGTTATTAAATTCGATAAAAACAAAATTTTAAACAGTTTTGTGTGAGTATAATATTATTAAAACTTAAAATTTATAAAAAATTCATCATTATAAAAAATTTATCTTATAAAAAAAATATTTAAATATATACAATAAAAAAAACTTTTTTGTCTTCTCGCTTATCTTCTTTTTTAGCCTGAAAAATGTTTTATGTTAATTAATAATTATTAATTGTTTTCACCGAATTCTCGTACATACGCACGCAAACGACAACGGTCGGACGGATTCATTTTCGGCATCTTTCACACTTATTCGAATTATGATAGTGAATACGACTAACGACTAACGACTCTATTAGTACCTACTAATAATCGGACACCAATTAGTTTAATATCGCGTATCGTAACGTTATCGAGATTATTTGATGGGAATTACGTATAGCCGTATAGATAGATACAAATCAGCCGATCTTCGTAAAAATAACTAAAATTTTATAATTCCAAGCAACAAATATATATGAAAAATGACCTAAAAATGGAAAAATGCTTTGAAAATGTCAAAAATGCTTTAAAAACAGAAAAAGTTTAAAAAATGCAAAATAAAAGTTTCATTATTAAATTCTCTGATGTATGAATCGAATTATACACTTAGAAAGCATTGCCCTATTCTACCCACTAAAAAATGTATTTTGCATCAAAGTCCGTTCCCTGCTTATCACAAACCAGTTCATTCAAAAATTATAGTTAGAGTTTCCACCCCTTTTTTCCCCCAGCCCTTAAAATACTTTACCACCTTACCACTATTTTTATTCCAAATTAAAATGAATGTATTATTCATTTAAAATTATAATTTTGTATTTTCAGCAATATGTACAAGATACAAAACTAAGAGAAGCATTTCAATGGAGAGAAACGTGGAAATGTTTTGTTCTGACTATGGTCATTATCATATTTATACTTGGAGTACTTCGAGATCCGTCAAATGTACGTAAATATCATAAGTACATCTAACAAGTCACAAAATACTTAAGGACATCCTTACGTATGCACAAAAATAGCATAAATAATATGTTTTTATTTAAAGCTTAAAATAAATATATGAAGTTTATCATTTAAATGACAAAAATTATTATATTTTACACAAATTAATGTAAAATCTTTAGGTAGTTAAATTCATTGAGGGTATTTATACATTGTTTTTACTAACAATTTAAATATACATTCTAAAATTATTATGATACATTTTTAGGTGGGTCTATCAAAAAATAATTGGCTTGAATACATTTATTGCATTCTAGGATGCCTATTTTTGTACATATTTTATATTGTAGAATGTCGATATAGCGAGATTGTATGGGATCTGGCAGAAACAGATCTCATGCCAATCTCAGCAGTTTCTGAATATATTGTACGACTTAAAAGAGCTGAGCCTCATGTTTGGTACGTATATAAAAATATTATAATATTGATTACAATTATTTGTTTTTTTAAAAAAATCAAACATTTTTTTGATTTTAGGTGGCAAGCATCTTGTTACCATTTCGTAGAACAAAAGTCCCCGAGACGAAATTCAAGACAAATGACAAGGGTAAATATGCAAGTGACCCGAGTTTCATTTGACCATCGAAATTTCGGTTACACAGATATATCTGATTATCTTGTATTTTGTCAAAAAAGTCCGTTGGTCAAAATTGAATTTAGCAAAGGTACGCATGAAACATTTACATGAAACGTCATATCGAGCATGATTATACTACAAAAAAACTCGCTTAAAATAATTTAAAAACGTTATATTAAAGTTACTAAAAAAAATATGTAAAAAAAATAAAATAAATACTCTTTTTTCTAGTTTAACTATAAATATCATTCATTCGAAATTTCAGTACTTATAAGTCATATGTTAACTCAAAAGCATTTTTTATTTTAATAGTTAAAAAAAAATTGTTATGATTAATGGATAATTTGATAATGTTTCAATACCAAACAAGTAATATAACTCGATAACCTTTCACAACGTAGGATTCGCTTTTGCTAGACCACGACACGCTGAAGAATTTGAAAACATTCGCGGTGAATTCTTTTCGGCGCATGAACCCGTAGACGATCATATAGAAAAAAAAGAAGGTTTGGACCTGGCCGGCGTCGAGTTCGAAGACTATATATGTGCTGGTCGATTTCCACGGTTCATAAATACCACGACTTACTGGATATGTTCATTCTTGTTATTGTCGTGGCCCTACAGGGTTTATGTCAATTATAATACATCGTACGCACATTATACGGTATATACTTTAATTTTTTTTTTAACATTATACTTACTCGATAAATTATAACCATGTATAAATGTGTGTGAAATCAAATACTTTAAATTGTGTTACCTCGGTGGCTACAGATGAATAATAAAAGTCGTTACCAACATTAGTTATGTGCCTGGGTATTTTAATAATATATTTGAATAGTTAAATTATTAAAATTATTGCGTATTTTATAATTCCTACTGTTGTCAATTAATTGGTAAGCGGGAAAAGGTACTATTTATAACACCCCCACTACAGTACAACATTAATTTAGAAATGTATTTCACTTGAAAATTGAATTGGAAAAAATGCATTATTTTAGTATTGAAAACAAATCGAACGTATTGAAAGTTATAACTGTGAAAATAGTACCGAGTAAGATACCCACATAAACTAGAAGATGGTTTTCTCTGAAGGACCCATCATATCCCCAATATAATTAAGATACATGAAAATTTAAAAACAAATAAATATAAATTTATATTTAATACTCATGTGTATGTACCGCGAATTGCCGATTGAATATTTCACACGTCCTATAAATTAATAATTAATGATGATTTTCGCAAGAACATTTTTACAACATTTTTAGCCAGAACCGTCAATTCATAACATTCACAGTTTATGTCATAATACAATAATATGCATGTTGTTATAGATGATTTTTAAACGTTTCAAACGGTTTTATCTGTACGTAGAGTGTCGTTCGTTGGCTCTCAGTCCAAATGCGATTTATGAGCATATTCTATACCTAATTATGAATCTGATTCAAACAATTTGGGGTGAAAATTTTGAAGCTTAACATTGGATTTTTTTTTTTTTTTTTTTAGTCACATTTTCGTTACATAGATTTGCATAGAATTTGGTATAGGAACAAGTTAATCAATGAACAAATGTAACGATTGGATGTTTTTAGTTTTAACGTTTGCAAAGTTAATCGAACGGAGCGAAAACGATTTTCTCTGCACAGGAACCGGGTGGTTTTTAATTGTTCTCGAGAACCACCCCGGTAGGATGCGTAAACGTCGTTCAAACCGTCCGTGACTCTTATTCGTGCGCGCGTGCTTGCAGATCACCAAGCTGTTCGGACACGTGCGCATGATACCCAGCTACTCGGAAGCGATGCTGTTGGACCCGGCGCCGCCCGCGTACGTCATCGACTGCCCGTCGTCGTTCGACGTGTACGAGACGCCACAGACGATGACCGTATTCCGCACGTGTTCGCCGGACTACGTGCCCGCCAACCTGGTCCGTTACATCGAGTCCGGTCCGTACGCGTATCCGCCCACGTACGAGGAAGCGCTCAGGTACCCACTGTTCGAGCTTTCCGTCGACGACCGGGGCAACAACAACGTGCAGCGCGCCTCCGGCCGGACCACCAACTCGACGGCAATCACTTTCGAGACCAGCTTATAATGTTATTTGAAATGTTGCGCGACCGCGTCGTGTTCATATCGCGGTTAGGTTAATATTCAATACCGATGTCGATTGGTGGTCGATGACTTTTTTTTCCTCGACTTTTTCCTATCTAATTATCATTTAAACAATCTCACCGGTATTTTCACACTATGCTCGATGATCAAAACGATAGAACAGTTATCAATGCCAAAATTGACTATAGTAGTGCCTTGGAACGACATGGTTGTGAAATAATTTTATAAGGTTAATATCGAACACACACACACATGAATTTAATCAGTCATCTGCGTTGTAATAAATTAAGGTAATAATAATAAACACACATGATATTCCCCAGGGAAAGTTAGGTCGTGTTTTTGAAACTTCTACGAGAAACTTCTACGAGAACAAATAATATTTTTTGTATAATATACATTCGTCGGATAAGTAAGGGACTATTAATAGAAAATATAACCCATTAATTTCAACAATCCAGAAAACGTAATTTTACTAAAATGTCGGATAAGTAAGGGACTATTAATAGAAAATATAACCCATTAATTTCAACAATCCAGAAAACGTAATTTTACTAAAATGTATCTTTATAACAATGTTCTATTGTTCAATATCGTATATTTCCATAAAAACGTATCCAACATATAGGTTTTCACTAATTATGTGTAAAACAAAATGTTTACAACATCTTTACAGCATAACAAAGATTATCTTGGAAAAATGTATTATGTCATTTTTGGTATTTGAACGCTATATTTCCTGAGTGCATGTTTTTAATACTATTGTGTGAAATATGAATTGAAGAAAAAAAAAAAGAAGAAATGTTCATCAATTTAAATACTTTAGTCCTTAAGTAATTTTTATATATATGTAGTTATCCACAGTATCACCAGGGCTGAATTGGTATAAAGCGGCCCACCGAAATTTCCATTTCTAAGCAGCCCATGTATAAACTCAATGACCTAAAACAATAATTAATTTAGACATTTATTTACCCCACTCGCAATTTTTTTACTATTGATTAAATCAATAGTTAACAATATCCTAAATTTAATGAATTGTAATGTTTAGTTTGTTATAAATAAATAAAAGAGTTACTTAAATTAATTAAAAAATGCATTTTTCATTATTTATAACAATTAAAACAAATTAAAACAATTATTATAACAAAAAATAAATTGAACGCTAGTAATGTGTTATAAATAACATTTATTATATTAGTATCTACAGGGTGTTCCAAAATGATTCATCCGATTTAAAAAGATCATATTTATTGAAAAATTTGATTAATCATGTTAGAATTAATTTTACATTTTAATGGATTATTTTAAGTTTTAGGTACAATGCTTATAAATGTTCAATGTGACCCCCCTTACTTGCACGACACACATCTAAGCGACATTCAAATTCCTCATAAACCTGTTGAAGCATGTCAACTGTAACCAAGTTGATGGCGTCTGTAATGCGACTTTTCAATTCGTCAAGATCTTTTGGAAGGGGAGGTACATAAACAATGCTTTTTATGTAACCCCAGAGAAAAAAAATCACAGATTGTAAGATCCGGCGAACGGGGCCATGGACAAAATGTAGCGTCATTAGCACTACAGCGACCGATCCATTTCTGTGGTAGCTGATCGTTAAGAAATATGCGTACTTCTAAGGATCAATGTGGTGGTGCTCCATCTTGTTGTAAAATGAAATCATCTCCATCTGATTTCTGTAGACTTCTTACAAAACTTTCTTGAATTTGTTCAACATTTTCATCCGAAGTTCTTGGTCTACCTGATGACTTCCCTTTACATAAGCAACCAGTTTCTTGGAATGTTTTATGCCATCTTCGAATACTCTGGGTTGTTGGAGGTTCAATGTTAAACTTTCGACGAAAATCACGCTGCACGGTAATAACAGACTCGCACTTCTCAAAGCGGAGCACACAAAACGCCTTTTGTTGCTCGGTCAACATTTCGATAACAACTAATTAAGTTACGTCACTAACGATTACGGTGCCAAATTTAACAACTAGATAACTTAAAATAAACTTAGTTATCTAATCTTTCCATTAATACATTGGTCATTAACCTGCGATTAACCGTTGCCGAATTATATCAGTTCGTAATCGGATGAATCATTTTGGAACAACCTGTATATTCTGTATGGTGAATTTATAAATAAATCATCATCATCAACAGCTTAACGGTCCATTAAGGACCTGCGCTGCCACTAGTAATATTCTCCATTTTTCTCTGTCCAAAGTCTAGTCTAACATTGCATTCGCTTCTGTCGGTTTCATATCCTTTTCTACTGTGTTTTTCCATCTTGTTCTTGGTCTTCCAAGTGGACGTTTTTTTATTTATTTTACCTATCAAAACATTTTTTAAAAAATCTCCATCGGCTCTCCACACATGTCACAGCCACTCTAGACGTTTACATCTTATATATGTGAGTATATTTGGTTTTTCATAAAGGTCAGCTCTTCATTGTATCTTTTTTCATAAATTCCTAGGTTGTCATTGTAAACCAGTCCATATATATTTCTTAGTATTTTCTTTGAAATATCTGTATCTATGTATAAAATACTTGTCCAGAGTGATTCATCATCACCTAGCCGGGACCGCTGAAGCTATGAGTATAAAATTTGGACAGTAGTTTTGTTTCATGTTTCATGTGACCCACCAAGAAAGAAAATTATAAATTAGGTACAACCAAAGGTAAACTGCAACATTATTACAGTAGAAATCAATTTACCATTTGCAAGGCAAAGTTTATAAATGTTAATGAAGTACCAGATATTCAGTTGTCACTAAGGGTGCCCCTACATTACATCCGTATTTCTCCCCATCCGATCCGATCCGACGTTATCCGTTTATCAGTATCCGATGACGTCAGACGTAAAAGTCTACAATGGTTTCGACGTGATCCGTTTAACTGTATACTGTCAAATCGTTCTACTGCAATTTGCAGTAGAAGCTATTGCAGTAAAAACGTTATAGCGAAATGCATAATTCTGATTTTTTGTGTTGTTTTTTGCTGGAAAACAATGTCCTACTAAATAGACAGAAAAAAATACATGGGTCCATCAACTCAATTAAGATCGATCAAGAGGAGAATTTTTTACAACTTCCGTACCTATGCAAAATTACCAGGTTAAGTTCAGGGAATACTATTGTAAGAATATTGAAACATTCGACTACATTCTTGGAGGATTAAGAAACAACATAACTGGCCAATTAAACTTCAGGGTATGTGTCAATGTAGAGGAAAAACTCACCATCACAATACGGTAAATAAACCTTCATTATTCATTATAGATGTACATGTGTATTGCACTTATACAACGTGGATCATTGAAACAATGACCACAAGTTAATAGCATTGGCGTATTTAATGGCAGTGCTATGAATACTTGGCATCTCTACTCATTATTAGCATTTCCAATTCGACTTGTGTAGCAATGGATGCATTACCCGCAATTTGCGGTGAAATATAATCAATGAAACCGCATGGTTTTATAAAATGGCATAAAAACAATAGCGACGAAATCGGTATGCATCATCAAATGATATAATCGAGACAACGTTAAAATATTTGATAAAATTATTACGCCAGGAAGTCAAGATCACCGGTAGAAGGCTACAAACGATATTTGCACGTAAATAATCGAAATCATTTCCGTGCACATCTTTCATATTTATATTTTATGCGTTTTTAATTTTAATTAAAAAAAATGTGTTAGTTATTCGGAAACTTATTTTGGTCTAACTGCTAATTAACTATTATTATAACGATGTTAATAATGAGCTTTATATAGTTTGATTTTATCAGTATTTAAAATTATATTAGGTATAAGTAATTTATGTAAAGGGGAAAAACCGCGTTTTGAAAATTTGGTCTAGGACTATTCCTAGATACTAGTCCAGTATCTAATTTATTTACCTAATAATTAATTATTATATTATATTTTTATTTTATTTATTTATTTATTTTATCAACATTTTTAATTATAATGGAATATTTCCATAGAGAAATCCAGTACTACTAGATGTTATGATTATTTTATATGGCTGAACGCTAAATATTAGAAAATGTTAGAATAATTTTCTTGCCCAATCCATGTGTGTACGTAGGTGCGCCCAAAAATATATAACTAAAGTAATATTTATAGTCTATTTTATATTTAATTTACAAGTTTATAAATAACGAAACTAAAGTATACGGAACTTCCTATATGTAGGTTATCCTTCTCATAAAATATGTCGGGATTAGCATCTGACAGTAGTGTACCTAGGGAGAGGGTGATTAGGAGTAATATCCCTCATTGTCTTTTTATAACCTACAGAAAATCACTTATTAGTTATTAGAGCTATTTTAGAGTAATTTGTGTTTATTAATTATTAGAAAATAGTTATTACTTATGAATCATAAATTATGTCTCACAATAAACATTCACTACATGGACTATATATATAATGCATACCTAATGGTCATATGTGTATGCACAGCCTATACAGCCTGTACCGTATCTGTAATCTGTATTAATATTTAATTCCTTGAATCTCGTCTTCCTAATTTTCTTAGCAAATTATATTTCTATATTTTATTATTTTATTTTTTTACTTACATGAAATGTATTGTTGTATAATATGTACATATTGTTTCAATGAACGTTTTAAAATCTTTAATTATTTCGATGACATTACAATATTCAACAAGAAAAATAATATATAAGAAGAAAAATAATATTAATCTGGTATAATACAGAATAAAAGTTTTGCGGAATTTAAACCAGTTTTGGAAACTTCCTTCTAACCCTATGTATTTATTACATAATACAAAAAAATTATATATATATAAATTACTTAAATTAATAATTCAGATTTATTATTATTTCATACATTATTTGTTTTATTATTGTATTCATGTTTTACATTTTTCTTGGTTTAAAAAAGTACTTAGAATTCTAGGTATTAATAATTAAGTCTTATATACTACTTCAATATTTAAAATTACAATCATAAAAAAATCATAATACATAACATACAGACTTACTAATACACAAACTTTACTCGCATCAGTTTTATAAATCTAAGTAGTTATCTTTAAAACTAATCAAACACATTCGTACTATAATATCTAATTTTATACACAAAATATATTTAGATATTATAATTTTTATTTATGTGATGACATAGTATAATAAGTATTTATTATGAAAAAAAAAATAACAAAAATTGTTATAAAAGTGCTTATTAACTTGAAACAGTATGAACTCTTAATATAATTGGTAAACGACGAGGGTTTTTTCTTATGAATGGCTCAATTACCTCACATGGTAAAGAAAATACATTTTCTATTAAACCGTTATGGTAGGATATCTCTTTAATTTGTGTATAAGGAAGTATTGGTTTCTGGTACACTAACTTTTTTGATACATTTTGAGCAATATGTTGAATCAATGTAATTGAAAATTTAAATTGTTTTGATTTATCTATGGGTCCAATAAAATTCACTTGTCTACAATAACAATAAATCATTAAGATTAAGTATTCAAAATATTTATCTTTATTTATTTATAAAATTACAGGATGAAGTTCAAATATTATATATTGTGATAATAGTAAACATAAAGAAAATTTAAAGTGATCATACTTATTATATTATACACATATATTTTAGGAGTAGAACATAGTTGATAATATATTATATTGGAGAGAATAAATTAATAATTAATAGTACAAGTCATTTTATAAAGATGTTTGAAAATATATTGAGTAAGTTCTTTAATTTTCGATAAGTTAGAGAAATTAGAATCAGTAGTAAAAAAAAAATATTGGTTTTGAGGATGTGAGGAATCAAGAGTATAAAAATAAAAGAAGCTTACATTTGCAGGTATCTATTTGAATGAAAAGTAATTGCAAAGAATTCATTGTGATTAATTAAGAACCAATTATTTGGAGCATAATATTTGTCCAACAAGATATCAAACAACTAGAAAATATAAAAGAATAAGAAAATAATTAATAATTAATAATTAAAATATAACAACAATATAACAATATCTGTAAATAAATGTATAATTTCATTGGTTTAATGTCTATGATAAAAGCAAAATAAATTAAAAATCAAAAAATAAATAATAATAAACATGTTTGTTCTCCAATAATGATTTATAATACCGCACCTGTCTTGAACCTTTTAAAATGTGACTGCTATGAATATTATTCATATGTTTTTTCATTTCAAAATACATTCCTTGCCACTGACAATTAATAAAAAAACATTGGAATGATATAAAATAACATTGACTTTCATGTATTAATTTTTGATTCAAATATAATTGCTCCTTACATCCATATGTTTTATTTGTACAGGGAAATTTTATTAAAAATCCAACCTTGAAAAAATTGCAAAGCCTTATTTAAAAATAATACACTAACTTTAAAAATGTTTTACATACTTTCTCCATGAATAAATTATTATTTGAACTAAATGGATTTCTACACGAAGGACAGCTTTCACATTGTAGAGTACATTTATTACAAATCAAATGTCCAATTAAACACTGAAAAATAGGAGGGAAAATATGTTCAAAACATACTGGACACTCGAATAAACGAACCAATTGATTATTGAGATCTTCATATGTTTCTGGATGTTTATCAACAAGTGCAGTTACAGTACCTTCTGTAACTCTATTCCTGTAGGGAATGTAAAAAAAATATATTCAACTCGTATTGTTAATAATGACAAACATTATTAACATAAAAAAACATATTAATGTATTAATATATTAAAATTAAATATTAATTTACAAACATATTAATGTTAAAAGAGTATAAAATATTCAAGTAAAAACTATTATACTTTTTTCACTTAGTTATGTATTATTATTTATTAATATATGCACTTGAAGTTTTTTATATAAAATGTTGAGGTACTTAAGAAATTCGAGTACCTTTTCTAAGTAAAAATATCAACCTGTTTAATAAATATTTTACACAAACTAACACCTAGTATTATATATATTTAATAAAATATTTACAACCAATTATAAAAAGCTAGTAAGATAAAACTTTACAATTTTGTATTATTTTATAAAAAAAAAACTTACGGACTGTCTTCATTGAATAAATTATCAAATGCATGTTTTGGAGTGGTTACTTGAATATCTTCATTACTAGTTAAATCAATCACTTCAACATCATTATTTACATTGTTAATACAGTTGATAGCCATATTATTAAGTCTTACGCCAATTATAAATTTATAAAAAAAAATAAGTTAAAAGTACATAGATTCAGTTGTATAAATGTATGGAATACTTTTAAGAGAAGAGTTACCTACTAATCAACGGTATTTGAAGAATAATGTTATATAACATTAAGATAAATTAGTTTTTCATCAAATAATATTATCTTTTCTGTTGGAATAACAATCAAGTTTTATCAACTAACGGGACTTATCGGATTGGTTATCTAGTTCAATAACAAATGCCAATAAAGAATATAGAACGTGTTTTTAAAATATTTATTTAAACAAAAGAAAATTTTAAAAACCATGTTGTACCAAATAATAATGAATAGGGAACGGATTTTTATGTAATTAGATATATTTATTGAATGTGAATTTCTCAATTCTAATTATAAATAAGCACGTTTCATAACACCCTGAATAATATGAGACCTTTTTTATTTTACATATTTTTACATATATTGTAAATATTTCACATTTTCATACCATTTAAATACAGTTTTTATTTAATTTACAATTATTATATTGGAATTAAATAAAAGAAGATTTTTCAAAATTCAGATACTACAATTGCTATTACTTTTGATATTATGTAAATTAATAACTTGCAAAATAATTAAGCATATATTTCCAAAAAAATTTTTTTCTTGGTTAAAATAATAAAATATTATAATCATTGAATCTAACAATAATTGAAAGTCTCGCGATAGTGGAAAATGCAGAAATTCAATGAAATTAAGTTCAAGAGGAACCCGGAGTTATAATAAAAATTAATTAAACTACGTACTGGGTAACGTACTACGTTGGTTCACAAAAAAATTTAAATTATTAGATATAATCTTATTAATATAAATGAAAATATGTCAAATTATATTGAAGTAACACCATTCGATATGTGTGGTATGAAATATGCCCCATTAACCTCGATTGACGTTTAATGCAGCTTCAGCCGCTACGAGTTGACTTTGAAATCTAACCGCCGTACATCAAAATTTGAAAATCTTTAAATGTACGTCTTATCCAATTGTTCCAAAGAAGACAACAATGAAGATGATTAAATGAATAATTATTAATTAATAATTAAAAATTAATGGAAAATATTGATTTTTTTTGTTAAATATTTTCCGTTTTTTAATACATATTTTAGCAAAAATAAGAACATAAATATTTACATATTTTGGCTTTTTTATTACATAAAAATCCGCGTCCTAATAATGAATAATGGCTGCGAATAGAACTGATTGCTATCATAGTAGTCTGTACTCAAGATCTATGAGAGCGAGACCAAACTTAAGGAGACTATATATACTTCTATTATAATCAAAACGGGACAAAAAATAAAAACATTTTTCTTCATAACTTTGATTATAAATACATTTTTTTTAATTTCGTAATTATTAACAAATTAAATACTAACTATTTAATATATAAACTATATACATATACTATGTATGTATTTCAAGGAAAATAAAATAGCGCCTACGTAAAGAAAAAGATCGACGATTACTGCAGTAGGTATTAAAATAATGAATTATGAAAAATAATTTAATAATTTTGTGTAAGCGCTCGATATCACAGTGTTTAAATACACTAAGTCAATATATCCGTATTATATTATATATATTATATTACATCGTTCATCGTAATAGGTATTTATATACCTATTTTATTAGTCTAGTTATCTATCGCAATTAGTGATGTGTAAATATCCAGTAAATTGAGTAAATTTATTTTTAATGCTGAAGCCAATTCATAGATATCATAATCATTGGCGTATATAGAGGGAGGGCCTACCATGGATAGAGTTAAATTAACACTGCTATCTAAGAATTACTAACATTACACAATAGGTACTTATCTACATTTCATTTACAGAATGTTCCAAAACGATTTGACGTTTGACGTAAATTCTAAATAAGTATAAAGCACCATTAAAATATAACATACATTTAAAATAATTTCTAAGTTTTTTAATACATTTCAGGGGGAGGCTGTAGCCCACTAGGCATCCCCCTATATACGCCACTGATCACAATACTTTTTTATGATTGTTTCATGACTTTTCCATGTTTTTCCAAGACTGATGATCAGAGTAAATAAATTATATTTTTAAAGTTTTTGTAATTTTATTCACTTTGATACTAATACCATTTTTAACATGGAATGAAATAAATCTAATAATTTAACAATTAACCCAATAACTTTCAATTTTAAAATTGAATTTATTTAATAAAAATAATTATGTTTGACATAATTTTTTTTTTAACTACACATAGTGACTGACCCAACTAAACCTTTAATTATAAAAAAAATGTATATAAACATAACATTCAGTCTTTATTTTCCATTGCAGTAAATTAAAGGCTTTAAAGTTTCATTAAAATGTAAATACAAATGATCAAATACAAATATTATTTTTATGAAACATAAATATTATTGAAACATAATTATTACAATCAGATGTCTTTTTTTTTTTTTAATATAATACTTTATTTAGCTTTTACTTTTTTATTGAGATTTCACAACAACAACAAAAATATCAGTTTTTTACTACATGAATAACAAAATTATGAAGAACATAATATTATTTAAAATTAAATTACAAATTGTCATTACTTCATAAGTAATAAATTTATAATTATAAAATACATATAATAACGATATTAATACCTATCAGTAGAAAATAGAAAGTTTGAACAGATTAAAACAAATAAAATAACCGAAATCTCGCTCTGCTGTAGAGTAGGTTACTATAATGGATGTGTTAAATTTGAATGTAATGATAGTTATACAAAAAACGATTCTGAACGGAGATGATTTGTCAGTCTAAACTCTAGGATATATTATATAACCTAAATATATATTTTTTTGATACAAGTAATTTATTTTTCAAGTAAGATTTAGGATTGGTTGCATACTTCGGACTTCCATAATCCATACGGCATTACGCCATGGTTATTGGTCTTTTATTATAATATTTTATAATTTTTTAACTACAAAATAGGTAACTAGCGAATATTCATAAATTTGACAAATTTTATATATATTTTAACTTCAAACCCTTGTAAAAAATAATTGGAATTTTTTTCCTATAAAGACGCTCGATTTTTTTTTACAGCTAGTTTAAGGAAAACTTTTAGAAAACCTTGTGTTAAAGTTTTTAACCTTGGATATAAATCATAACAATTTTATGAATTTTTATTTACTAAATTACTTGCAAATTTTCACGATTTTGACATATTTCGTAAACATTTGAACTTTAAAAGCTGATAAAAAAAAATTGTGACTTATGATTTTTGGTCTTTTTTTAGCTGCAAAAAGTTTTTCACCATTATTAATCTATAGTTGGAAAATACAAAGTAATTTTCTTAAAAAGTTTTAAAAGATTACTTAAACTTTGCAAAACCCTGAAGTAATCTTCCCAAATTTTTGGTAGGTAAATATACTTGTAGGTAAATTCCCAAAATATTTACCTACTCGTTGGGTATTTACTCACGGCACATTACTGATCCCAATACACTACACAACCTGTCATTCACCGTTATCACTCATCATCGTCACACATCCTCTAGTTAAATATAATGGATACAATAATTTAACAAAATAATTACGGTAATAACGGTTTAATAAGGGTTTAATAACGGCAGTACTGTTAATTAGTGATATTTTCTATCGTTTCGTATGAAAGAGAAGGTGATTTGGATCCAGTTAATCACAAGCAGATATTAGGCACTGCCAATATAAAGAAAGAAAAAAAATCTGTATTCTATTTTTGTTTTTCTTTTTAATTCTACTGTGTTATCCTATGTATTGACGCTTCATGTGAAAATAAAAATAATAAATGGCAATCGCAGATAATAACAATACAATTGTTATAATAATGTCCAGCGACAGTGCCGTATTAGCGCATAGGCACTATAGACACTGTGCTTAAGGCTTTCGAACATATTTGGTTATGATTGTTTTGTAATATTTTATGTTTTTTTTTTTTTTATTATAATTAT